CCAACATTTCCCTGTGTTTTTATCCCATTCCCCCAACATTTCCCTCCGTTTTTATCCCATTTTCTGGGCTCCCAATCTCCCCTGGGAGCCGTTCCCTGGGAGATGAGCAGGATTTTCCATGGAATTTTGGCTCTCTTTCCCCCCAGGGAATTCGGGATGGGATCATTTGGGATGGGATCATCTGGGATGGGATCACTCGGGATGGGATCATTTGGAATTCCCCCATTCCCTCCAACATTTCCCTGTGTTTTTATCCCATTTCCCCAACATTTCCCTCCATTTTTATCCCATTTCCCCCCATTTTCCCCAACATTTCCCTCCATTTTTATCCCATTCCCCCCAACATTTCCCTCTGTTTTTATCCCATTTCCCCATTTCCCCCCACACTTCCCTCTGTTTTTATCCCATTTTCCCCAACATTTCCCTGTGTTTTTATCCCATTTTCCCCAACATTTCCCTCCATTTTTATCCCATTCCCCCCAACATTTCCCTGTGTTTTTATCCCATTCCCCCATTCCCCCCAACATTTCCCTGTGTTTTTATCCCATTTCCCCATTTCCCCCAACATTTCCCTGTGAGTTTATCCCATTCCCCATTTCCCCCAACACTTCCCTGTGTTTTTAACCCATTTTCCCCATTCCCCCAACACTTCCCTCCATTTTTATCCCATTCCCCCCACACTTCCCCCTGTGTTTATCCCATTTCTGGGCTCCGGGGCCGTTCCCGGCGTTTTCCGCACTCCTCTCCCGGCAGTGTCCCCGGCGGCGGAGCGGCTCCGCTCCATCCTGGCCGAGGAGGACGAGGCGCCCACGCCCACGCTCTTCACGGAGATGGACACGCTGCAGCGCCACGGCGACGACGTGCAGTGGAAGGAGTCGGCCAGGTCTGGGGGCGGCCCGAGAGATCCCCAAAATATCCCCAAAATGTCCNCGGCCCGAGAGATCCCCAAAATATCCCCAAAATGTCCTGGAAGATCCTCCAAAATATCCCCAAAATGTCCTGGAAGATCCCCCAAAATATCCCCAAAATGTCCTGAAAGATCCTCCAAAAATCCCCAAAATGTCCTGAAAGATCCTCCAAAAATCCTCAAAATGTCCTGGAAGATTCCTCCAAAAATCCCCAAAATGTCCTGGAAGATCCTCCAAGAATCCTCAAAATGTCCTGAAAGATTCCTCCAAAAATCCCCAAAATGTCCTGGAAGATTCCTCCAAAAATCCTCAAAATGTCCTGGAAGATTCCTCCAAAAATCCTCAAAATGTCCTGGAAGATTCCTCCAAAAATCCTCAAAATGTCCTGAAAGATTCCTCCAAAAATCCCCAAAATGTCCTGGAAGATTCCTCCAAAAATCCCCAAAATGTCCTGGAAGATTCCTCCAAACATCCTCAAAATGTCCTCAAATATCCTGAAAAATCCCCCAAAATCCCCAAATGTCCTGAAAGATCCTCCAAGAATCCCCAAATGTCCCCAAAAATCCCCAAAATGTCCTGGAAGAAAATCCCCAAATGTCCTGGAAGATTCCTCCAAAAATCCTCAAAATCTCCTGCAAGATTCCTCCAAAAATCCCCAAAATGTCCTGAAAGATTCCTCCAAAAATCCTCAAAATGTCCTGAAATATCCTGAAAAATCCCCCAAAATCCCCAAATGTCCTGAAAGATCCTCCAAAAATCCCCAAAATGTCCTGAAAGATCCTCCAAAAATCCCCAAATGTTTTGAAAGATCCCCAAAAATCCCCAAATGTCCTGAAAAATCCCCAAAAATCCCCCAAAATCCCCAAATGTCCCAAAATATCCTGAAAGATCCCCAAATGTCCCAAAATGTCCCAAAATATCCCAAAATACCCTCAAATGTCCCCAAAGTGTGCCCAAAATGTCCCCAAAATTTGGATTTGGGTTTCCTGGTGGGACTGGGAGCTTCTCCTCCACCCCAGAGTTCCCAAATCCCACCAGAGCAATTTGGGGATGGGGAAATCCATGGATTTGGGTGTCCTGGTGGGACTGGGAGCTTCTCCTCCCCTCCACAGTTCCCAAATCCCACCAGAGCAGTTTCCAGATGGGGAAATCCATGGATTTGGGTTTCCTGGTGGGACTGGGAGCTTCTCCTCCCCTCCACAATTCCCAAATCCCACCGGAGAAATTTGGGGATGGAGAAATCCATGGATTTGGGTTTCCTGGTGGGACTGGGAGCTTCTCCTCCCCTCCACAATTCCCAAATCCCACCGGAGCAATTTTCAGATGGGGAAATCCATGGATTTGGGTGTCCTGGTGGGACTGGGAGCTTCTCCTCCCCTCCACAATTCCCAAATCCCAC